ATGTAGGGCTTTTGAAGTCGTTCCATCCCCTTCTCTGCCTCAATGGTCACTGTAGTTATCAAATTACCCTGCACAAAAGGTAGTGCGCCTGATCGATCTGCCCATACCATTGGCGTATTGTAAAGGCCAATACTCTATTTCTTTGGTATTTTTATCAGTGGCTCTTCTGGAACTGCTATGGGGTGTAAAGGGTTAAATCGCTTTACTTGTCAATTAGTTTACATTAGCTTTTGCTTAAAAATTAGTTTAAACTAATTTGAGACTAAGTTAGTTCACACTACTTGACGAAGATTTCAATATTTTTTCAAAACGTTCAAGAAAAAACCCAAAATCCCCATAGTATATTTGATATAGTTAAAGGTTAAGCTTCTCGGAGCAACTTTTTGCGAGGACTTCAATGGCAGTCTCAGAAATTCTTGAAAATGTTTCTAAACCGAAATAAGTACCTATTTTTGTTTTGAAAAACTTGAAATTAATTCACATTAATTTTTTTTGTATCGTGCTTTCTTCGAAAACGAAAATCGAAGCTTTTTTGGTAGTGTGTGATAGGGGTTGAGAGAAATGTTAGAGTGAGTTTGAAAAATGCACAAAAGATATGTGCATGACGTAGTGTGAATTTGCTTCAGCTTTTCAAACACTTATCTGGTATGTAAGTAGTACAAGATGAAGCTACATTAAAATTGTTATAACTAGTAGTTCCAGTAGCACAGTTGCTTTGTTAATTTCCAAAAAATTTAGTTTTCTTAGCAACTATTTTCAAAAATTCCCGGAATAGTCAATGAATCTTTTATTGAGCTTTTAAATTTTGATCTTTTTGTATTTTCACCTATTTTCTGCGAAAATCATTCATCGGATATTAGGGGTGCCTCCTCTTTTTTGAAAATATTTCGAATTTTGAGTTGAGCATAGCCTAGTGTAGCAGAAAGTGTAGATTACAATATAAGACCACCCCAGCACTTCACGACCTTTCTTGAAAAGTAATTCATTTTTGAAGTTTTTCCTTCAAAGCCAAAAAAAGACTCAATTTTTTAGTTTCATAAACATTTCTCTCCTTTTCTGTACATTCAAAATTTTTCTTACACATAGTCTGATAGACGAAAGGGTTTTCTTCACAATGAGATGCCTGGCAGAATTTTACACGTTTTTCAGTATTTTTCTTAGACGGTAATCGGTTAAATGATAATTTCTAACGGTTTTCTGAAAAGCATAAGGAATAGAGATACATTAGCCATTTTATGAGACTCGACAACCCGTAACGGTAACCGATCAGAATCAGCTGGACCGGTAGCAGTTACCCAGTTGTCAACCATTACCGTTGCATCCCTACATTAAACACACGAGAAAAAAGAAGATTAGTGGGGGCAGAGTAACTGAACAGACCAAAATATGACGCTTAGTATTGACCAGAATCATGACGTGCGCAGAAGAAGAAGAACGGAGAAAAACCACGATAAAGACATAATCTCCTTAGGCTGCGTATCATATGATGTCCAAAAGGATGAAACGAGAAGGGTACCAGGTAGCACAGGTGGATCACTATTTGACAAGATAATTTTTTTCTCTTAAAATAAGAAGGAAAAACATTTGAAGTTATTCGAAGTGTAAAAACATTCGCACTTACATTTACACAAGAGTGTAAAACAAAACGATGATTCAAGAACTTTCAAGATCTTGGTACAAGAAGTCAAGAAATTACGAGATGCTCAAGATCTTGACTTCTTGAAATTTCTTAAATTCTTGTATTTTCTTACCCAGATCTTGAATCAAGATCGTACTGAAAAAATTCAAGAAGTCAACGTTGGTTACAAGAAGTATCACTAAGGTAACTACTTAATAGCGTGAAATATAAATAAGTTCACGCAAATTAATTGATTTTAAAAAGATGTCTAACGCACTTATATGCGTTAAATTTTGTACACCAAAAGTAAACGAAAAAGTTCGCATCTATTAAAAACCATTAGTACGTTGAAACGAATTAAAATGGATACTTTAACACGTCAGCCTAGCGAAAAAACGAGTATTATTCTGAAATTAATTTTTTAAAAGTATTTCTTGCGTTAAAATTAAATTAACCAGAAAGGTTTTTAACGACCTTAGATAATTTCTACCTTTAACGCCTTAAAAATTCAATGCTTTTCAATGCGTCGGAATTTTCTAATTCATTCAAGCGCATTAAATTTGTTTAATTCACGAAAATGTATTAAATTTTAACGAATTTTGAGCGCGTTCATGTACCACCATAGCAGCGGAATGGTCCGATTTTTCGTAAAGCTCGTAAGTCCTTTATAGTACGTCGGATTGATTAGAAAGTGTCATCCTAGGTCAAACTTCTTGAAAGGAATCGAACGGTGATTCCAGAAGAGGTTGTCGAAGAGCGTTAATGCGTCCACATAGATTAATCTCTAATGCGTATGATGGCGTTAGGCCGCCCTTAAAGCGTGTGAACGTACTGAACGGACGAAGAAACTTTTAAATGCATTCGAGTGCGTTAAACAATTTCGTGCATTTAAATGTATTAACTTCTAATGCACGTGAACGCATCAGATTAATCTGAATATATGTAAATGCATTAAATGCACGGAAAGTCTTTTTTATGCATTCGAACATGTAAGAAATGTTAACAAGTTTAAATGCGTTAGTTGATACGGCATTTGAAGGTGTTAAATTCGTAAAAATGCATTAGGAAAGTTAAAAAATAAAATACATTGGCCAAATACATTGACTTTTAGGGTATGCGAAGGCGTTAAATTTTTTTTCATCTATTTAACGAGTTTAGACTATTAAAGATAAAAAATGCCTACCTTAATGCGTTCAAAGGAAATTTTTGTTATCAAAAAATTTCACCGGGATAGTAGAACCATTCGTCAGTAGGAGTTGTACTAACGTTCTCCGATATGAATTTTAGGATATTATGATACTATATAACGAAAAAAAGAGTTTTGCTTGAAATATGTCAAAAAGAAAAGGTCTAAAGGTCTACCTATTACTGATATTATTAAGCGTACATGAGATCAGAAACAAAAGAGTATTCGATTCAAATTCTAAAGATCATCTCGCCTCTGTAGATTTTCAACTTAATTAATCAACTTATTTATAATGTAAATAATTAGTTAGCTCTATCCTGGTGTCAAAATCTTCGACCAAAAAGTCATCCTCCATTTCATCGCTATTTTCAATAATTCTGCCCTAATGCAGTATTTCAAATTTTATTTTGTGATCTTTCTATCAAGACCGTTCCGGTGGTTTAGTATCATTGGTTGATTCGTTATGCTTTTCAGAAAACCTATGGAACATTCTTGCGTTAAACTCCAGCTTTTAGCCTTTGAAAAGCATCTTATAAAATTTTCAGCTAGTGTAATCGATAGAACTCAAATAAATTAACAAACTAAGCACTTCCCAAGCTCCAACACAGAACTACTAAATCCCTCCCCCATAATAGAAGACCATCTCCTATTAGAAGACCACTACCTATTATATGACTTGAAAGCCAAGTAGAAGACGGTCTTCTACTTGGCTTTCAAGTCATATAATAGATAGTGGTCTTCTAATGGCGGATGGTCTTCTATTATGGGGAAGAGTAGGTTAATATAGGCTTTGATTTTGAGTCTAACGTTTTCCAGCTCTGCTACGTAGTCACTTTGTTATGATCAAAGATTTCTGGTTATACGTTGCGCATAAACAGAATCAAGTGAAGACTGCATTATATAAAGTATAAAAGAATGCTGTATAAATATAAACAAGCGAAAATTGAAGTTATACAATGAAAGTAATAAAGATTGAACTTGAAAAAGCATAACAAAAACGCTTTTTCTCCGCTTACGTTTATTTTCAATTCAGACAAGGGGCAGTAATCTCTCTCTACTCAATTTTAGTATGGATACGAATTGAAACTGGCTACATCGAGGCCGTTCGCTTGCTGTTCCGCTTGTTTCTCATCGAGATAGTTTAGAAGGACCTCCTCATACGCCTTTTTCCCCTTGTAACGCGCTACGTCGTCGGGCCAGCTCCGTATAGCCGATGCCAATCGTCCGGGAACGCCCGGTTCTTGGGCAATGTCGACGACAGGAATGAAATAGGTGCGAATTGTGAAAAGAATGGCCCCACTACGTGGTAATCGCCGAAGCGTCTGTCTCTCACTTCGGAAACGGATATTTTCGATAGGTGGATTCGGTTCTGCGTGCTCCCATCCAATGCCAAATGTATCTTCGGATCCGATCGAAGTTGACCACGCTAAATGTTCATCTGTCTGAATGAAATAATTATTTCGAGCGACTGGTCGTTCAGGCGTCATTTTTTGAAAGAAGCGTTCCATGCTGCCCTGTAATTTCTCTCGAAATTTGGGCACATCGCCCGAAGTGTGAATCTTGGCGAGGGGCATGTTGAACTTGTCTTCCAGACGCCAGAAACCGGGGAGGAGAATGGCGCCACCTCTCAGATAATATTGGCCATCCGGCCCTTCAATCATCAAGGCTAGATCGTCTTCGATTAGGAGTGCGGCGTATTTTAAAGGATCGTCCGAGTGAATGGGATAAATCTCTCCGGTTGTTTTGATTCGAATTTGTTTTTCTTTGCTGCTGAATTCAAATTCGAACAGGGAAGGATAGCGATCAACGAGATACTGGCTGAGCAGTTTCATTGTCTCGAGCGCGGCCTCTTGTGCTTCGGGCGCCGTCTTACACAGCTGGGAAGCTCGCTCGCTGGCGAGACGAGCATGCTTCTCGGTGTGATAATGTGTCCACTGATTATCGAGTTCGATCCAATCATCCCAATCTACAGGACGAATGCCCATGGTGATAAAGTAGTTCGGTCCATACTTGAACGGACGGTAGGGCAACGGTTTTGTCGTTTCAACCGACCAGTCCGGATAGGCAGGCGGACGGGGTGCTCGAAAATCACTTGCAATCCAGGTGCCAAATGTGCGCTTGTGGCCAGCTTTAAGTTTGTCGTGTGACGCCTTCGTAATCTCTTTTCTGCGTCCGGATCGAGCGATGTAGAACAGCGCTCCGAAGATAAGCACAAACACCAATAAATAGTCGTACATCTATGCTATGTGTTTCGACGGATAATCTAAAGATATGAGGCGATCATTTTGTCAGAAAATGGTATTTAAAAGGAATGCCTGGAGGGAAAGTAAAGGAAAGCCTTTTTCTTTTTCCAATCTTCAGAGCTTTTTGGAGATTCAGATAAGTGGCATGTTCAACATGCCCTAATAGAGATCCATCTACCAAGTAAAGTGTAAGTTCATCTCTATACTAATGACTTATCTGCAAA